GTGGTGGAGCTCCTTTGCTCCATCCTCAAAGCCTGTTTTCCATGTGCTGCTTCTTTCAGCTCCTGCTCTCCTCAGATACCCTTACAGAAACTGCTGTTTTCAGCCACGCTGACCCAGGACCCAGAGAAGCTGCAGCAGCTGGACTTATTCCAGCCTCGCCTCTTCACATCTGTCTATTCCGAGAAAAAAACACTGGAAGATGGAACAGAAACTGAACAAGATGCTAATAATAAATACACACTCCCTGAAGGGCTATCGGTAGGGTGTTCATTCTCTTGAATAAGTTACACTTGAAGATTTTTTTAGTTCTGGAGTATCTGGTTATGATTTTACTGTAAAATGTCTGTGTTTCCTTGCATTACAGAGGTGCTGGGCAAAAGTGGCTTTGGGAGTATTTACAACCCAGAGAGCTCTATCTTTGTGTGTTTGTTTTCTCATTACTTAATGTTCATTTGTTTAAGACTGGATTTTTATATTTTTTTTTAAATTAATCTCTCTTTATGTGGAATTAAATTTTACCAGCAACGAGGAGTTGAAATGTGAAATAATAATAACAATGTAGCACTTATCAATTGTCCATATTTATAATGTGCATTTCAAGGCATGCAGATACAGTCAGCCTGTAGACAGGAAGGCAGTGCATGTTGTTACTTGCTGTGGAGAAGTAAGAACAACTCAGGTCTCCTGTCTGCACTTGTTTTGTATCTGGCCAGCCTGTAACTGTGACTTATTCTAAAGGGAGGTGGCACTGTGGGGTTTGCTGCTGTTAGTCAGTTTTAAAACATCCAAGCCTGTGTAAATCATGGACAGGTAGTGGGTTTCAGGGAAAATAGTCTTGGCAAGAAGTAATTTTTCTCTCTGAACTTCTTCCCTGTGGACTGCAGCAATGTTACGTGCCTTGTGATCTGAATTCCAAGCCTTTGCTCCTCTTGTATTTCATGCTGACAATGAAATTCACCCGCGTGTTGTGCTTCACCAACTCCAGGGAAGCTTCTCACAGGTGAGCAGATAATGAGATCACTAACATAGGTATCCGTCAAATGTTGTTACAGAGGGAAGTGACTGTTTCTATCCCCTTTCCCTGCAGGTTGTTCCTGCTAGTTCAAGCCTTTGGTGGAGTCACGGTGGCTGAGTTTTCTTCTCGATTGCCTCCAAGTGAGAGACAGAGAACCATAAAGGAGTTTGAACAAGGAAAAATACAACTGTGAGCATCTTAAATGACTTTCCTGCATGTCTTCCAGCATAGGCTGTTTCCAGTGAGAAAAAATAGGCAGAACCAAGCACACAGCTACGCAGGGTCCTCTAAAAGAGTGTACAGGAGTGTGGCAGAATGGGTGTGAGACTTGGACTTGTGACTTTGAATTGTTTATCCTGCATGTAATGTGGCCTGTTCTAATCTAACTGCAGTCTGAATGTGTGTTATTTTGTAGCAAGCAGTAAATGCAACTGTGTGTTCAGAGTTGCCCAAAACACACAGGTTTGCAAATCTGATGTTTAATGTGTGTGCTGGGCATCTGGTCTTGTAGGAGGGAAATGGATGTTGGTGCTTAAACTATACATGGTGTTAGTGCTTCCTACCGAAACAATCCCTGCTCAGACAGGCATACAGCTTTACTTTTATCCATGTGTTTGATTTACATTGTGGTTTTAGTAGCTCTATGAGATTGTATCTGTGGAATGTCTCTGAGAAGAAGGTAAATACTGATTTTCTGGATTTCCTTTTTATCCAAATCTTGACTGCTGGAATTTCTCACCTTGCACTCTGCATTCAGTGCCTTTATGGAATGTTCAGATACCTGAGAGGTTTGTAACCTCCAGTGTGCTGGGAGCTGTCTGGCTTAGTGTTCCATGCTTGGAGAACCTGGAAACAGAGACAGAGGCTGGCTGTCCAGTTTGAACAGAGATCAGCAAGAATTGTGCTGTGTTTCACTTGTGTGTGTGATGCCAGAGATGTTACCTGAAAATAACTACATACATTTACAACCAGGTTGATCAGCACAGATGCCACTGCACGAGGGATTGATGTTAAAGGAGTGAATTATGTGATAAACTACGATGCACCACAGTTCATCAGGACGTACATTCACCGGTAAGGCAACCAGGCACAACAGGGACATGTCCTGAGTTTGGTTTGCTTTGAAATGGTTTAGCAAAGGTGACATGCACTTTAAAGGACTTTTAGTTTTTCTTTTTACTTTAATATGCAAATAGCTTTTGAATAAAAATTAAGCCCATAGCATTACTTGGAATCAGACTTGCTTAAATGTGAAGAGTTTCAGAATCAGACTCTTGGAGCTGATAATGGCAGTGACCATGGGGCTCAAATTGACTTGAAGCTACTTTTTCTGTTTCCAGGGTTGGAAGAACAGCTCGTGCAGGAAAAGCAGGTGTTGCCTTCAGCTTGGTCCTTAGAATTCAGGTATGTCTTTAGGGTGGGGTTCATTTGATAAGGATGCATGCAGGGGCGTATGAAGATAAAGTTCGTACTACTTCCCACCTTTTCCAGTCAGCTGAGCTTTGTGCACAGAAACTTCAAGTATTTCCTGACTAAGCAACACGTTCCAAAATGTGCTCATTTTCTAGCTGATAGGCAGTGGGGTGTCTCATCTCCTGTGTCTGTGCTGTTATGCAGGAACGCCGGTTTCTGTGGATGCTGAGGGATGCCGGCATCCGAGACATAACAAAACACCCCGTGAAGGGCAGGTCATTAAAGCCTTTGGTGCAGCAATATGAGGGAGCTCTGTGCAAGCTCGAGAAGACAGTCAAGGTAATTGAGGCAGGGAATAAAATAAAAAAATCAAACTACAACTTGTGCAGTTTACTGCAATTCATGTTTAGCACAAGTATTAGTGTCTAGGATCCTTTCCTTTAACTGAAAGACTTCCATCTCAGTGTGAAGGCAGCATTTGTGAGTGCCTCATTATGGAATGCTCAGAAAGAGTGGGGAGGGGAGGAAGAAGTTTTCTGTTAAAGGTGGGCAGCATCCCTGGAGGGATTTAAAAGACATGTAATCTTAGGGACACGGTTTAGTGGTGGGTTTGGCAGTGCTGGGTTAATGGTTGGACTCCATTGTCTTTAGGATCTTTTCCAACCAAAACAATTCTATGATTTGTGGTGGGTTTTTTTCTACTCTGCCTTTCTCTTTACCTCTGGAGCTGGGATTTTGGTAGCTACCCAGTGAACTGCAAATAAAAAGCAGAGATTCTACCTTTTGTCATTACAGAGTTTAGGACTGTAATGTACAGCTATGCTGACTAGAGTTGGGTATCCCAAACCAGGAAAGCATTATCTGCAGGCCCTTCTTTATACACCAGTGGGAAGGTTGAGATTTAGAGTTCTAGACTAAGAATGTGTGAGAGCTGGGGCAGAAAAGATTATTACATTGTCCTGTTGCTCCCTGAAGTCCCTTCTGTGTGACCCTGAGACAGGGACATCTTCAGTCACCTTCTCAACTTTAATTTTGAACAGAACGAGCGAGCACAGAAACGAGCCTGAACGGATGGAAGCTGAGCTGGTCGTGTTTCGTGGCACTGAAGCCCCTGAGTGGGACAGGACATGGACTGGCCCCCAGCACAGTAACGCTGAGTCGTGGTCCCTGAATGGGCCTCAGTAGTTGGCTCCTCATCCTTATCAGAGCTGAAACTATTACAGGCCATGTTACTCTTTCAAGGACACTGCAAGCAGAGTTCAGTTACTGGTTGAAAAAAAAAAGATAAATTTTGAGATACAGGTGTCTGGAAGAGGACCTTGCATCGTGTCCTGCTGGCATATGTAGAGCTACCACCAGCTGTTGAGCATGGGCCTCATGGAACTGCTGTCCTCCAACCATGAGGGCTGGGCCATTCTGCACTGGAACAACTAATGGTTCTGTCTTATTGCACAAGCAGCTGTGTCTGCAAATGCATAAACACCTGTACAATGCCTGTAGCAGAAGTGTGTTTGAAGAGCTGCTCTAGGCTGAAGTGACTGCAACTTTTAAATAAATACTATATATATATTTTTCAAACAGTGTCTAATAAAAAATTCCAGGGCTCAGGAGTTGGACTTGATGATCCCTGTGGGTCCCTTCCAACCCAGGATATTTTATGATTAGGTATGGAGATATTGTTGAAGCGATTTTTCACTGTTATAGTCTTGTGCCTTATCCTTTTCTTGCCTGTGTTGTTTTATTCCAGTGTTCTGTACCAGTGGTAACAGCAGGTATTATTAAGTGTTAGGCTGATGTTAATGCGGACTGAAATGTCTGATGTCTAATATGAATGTCCTGGAGCCAGCTAGTGTCACTGCAAGCCATAAGTCTGTATTTTGACACATGCCACTGATATTTTTAGCTGTCCCAGCAGAGGGCTTAGAGCTGCCACATAGCTGCCGCCTGCAACTGCCCTCCATGGGTTGCTCTTCCTTCAGGAGGAAAGGCTCCAGTTCCAGCTTATTGTTTTGTAAGGCAGAATGTATGTACACCAGCATTACCAATACATTCTTGAAGCAAAATGAAGGGCTGGGAATCTTGAAGGGATGGGTGTTGGGAAGAGTGGTTGAATCTTGTGAAGATAGGACCAACGTGGGGTTGTTTTATAGCAGTGATTCAGTGTGTGTTTTCCTATTGTGTGACTGCTTGCTCTCCAGTTGTTTTTCCATAGCACGGGTGTCTGGGCTGGTGCTGGAATGGCAGGAATGGAAAGTCCTCTTGTGCGAGAGCCGCAAGAGCTCCCGTGGGGTAAACCCGGGATCTGCCTCTTGAGCACCCACACCCCCTCAGCCTTGCAGTTTCCTTATCATTAAGGGATTAAGGGCAGTTATTAGGACAAGCCAGAGATCAGATGTGAGGTGGCTGAGCCCGGTCGAAACTTTGCTCCAGAAAGTGCCACCAGCGCTGTCCTGTGAGCCCTCGGGCACGGCCCTGCCCCGAGCGGCCGGAGCGGGAGAGCTGCGCTCCGCCCCGGGGAGGGCCGGGCGCTGCCGGCACCAGGCGGGACGGCTCCGCACGCTACAAACAGCACGGGAGGGGGCGGCGGCGGCAGGAGCAGCGGCAGGATGGGGCTGGAGCTGTACCTGGACCTGCTCTCGCAGCCCTGCCGGGCGCTCTACATCTTCGCCCGGAGCAACAACATCCCCTTCGAGTTCAAGCGGGTGCAGCTGATGAAGGGTGAGCGGGGCTGGGGGGGGCGGCGAGGGTGTCCCGTGTCCTCCCGGTGTCCCCAGCCCCAGGGTTAAGGGGTGCCCAGCTGCTCCACCCGGGGGAGCTGCTGGATTCCAGCCAGCGGGTGGAAGCGGGTTACTCACCGTCCCCCTAAGTGCGAGATGCTGCGAGAAGGCGAGGTGGCCCTCCTGCTGCAGAGAGTTCCCGGTGCCTACACAAAACCGGGACCTAATTCTCCAGTGCACCCCTGTTTTTTAAGTAGTCAGCTCAGTACCTCTGCTCCTTTGCAACACACGGAACTCTGCAAAGGCGTGCAGTATCTTTGAAATCGGCTCCACCCCAGCAGAAAGTGGGTCTCTGATAAAAAGAGGCTTTTCTGAGAAGCGCTCAGGATGTGCCAGGTCTGAGTGCATTCCCCCGTTAATGGAAGACAAGAATTCACAGAGGTGGGACATTCACGTATGGGCGAGGACAGCCGAGCTGTGCAGTTCTTGTTCCCCAATTAAACTTCTTTAAAAAAACCTTTGTGCTCCGGTAAGCAGCAGCAGTTAGTGCAGAGCGGATCTTCTCCTCTTGGCAGGGGTTAACAGCCCCGGGAGGGTCCTCCCGTGTGAGGGTCCTCACTGCCGGTGTGTCCCCATGTGCAGGCAGGACAGGGCAGTTGGCTGCTCCTCTGGGGGTCCCACTGGGTCAAGCAGCTTGTAGCCGTTTTGAGAGGGTTGAGGGCAGACTTGTGAAGGCTGTGGAGCGAGACAATGCAGCTGCCAGTGATCTGAACACTGATAAATGAAGAAAGGAAAGTGGTTTATTTGGGCTAAAACCAACTGATAACTGATAGGAGCCTGTCCAAGGGGTATTGTGTGTTTTCACCAAAGGATGCCCAAAGATCTGCATCTTCTTTCTTTGTAACTGAAGCTGGTAAAAGCTGTCTTTCAACCTTTCCAGAGCTCTGCTGGATTTGAAATTAAGGTAATGTGTTGGGCATAACAATGCCTCAGAAAGTAACACTTAAAAACAGTGAAAGATGAGAAGGCTTCTGGGGCTGAAATTGGTAAAGGAACAAAAGAGGCTCCAAGTTGTGACTCAGGAGTGATGTGGTTTAGTCTCTGGGTGTTCCCCTGCACATCTTAGCTGTGCATTGGTTGTACCTTGCTGTGGCTTTCCTCCCACCTATCTCATAGCAAAAATTTTTGCAATTGTTTGTAACTGGGGGCAGGCTCATCTCGTGTCCTTCCCCTTCTTTCCCCATACATAAGCTGTTGTGGTGAGACTGGTGCAAAGGAGATGGCAGGCGAGCAATGAGAGCATCAGGGAGAATGGAACAACTGAAATACAGGTATTGGGGAACTGAGAGGAAGGAAAGTGAATTAAGTCACAATCTCCCAGAGCTCTGTGCCCCATGGCATCAGTGCCTGCTTTTGGCCAGTGGATTTAAGATGGGTGATTTGGCCTATGGTGCATCCTAAAGGTGCATCTCATCCCATTCCTAGAGTGGAAAATGCTCCAGGTACCTGCAGCTGGGTTAGCTCACTCTGGGACAGTGTGGGAGGCCTCGCTGCACTAGTACCCAGCACTGCACAGCGTGTGAGGACCAGGTGAGGGAACTGATACTCAGAACTGAGCTGGTGCACTGAATGTGTCCCTTCAGAAAAGCTCTTGGGCCCCCAGTAGGGCGGGTCTCAAGGAAAGGGATAGAAAGAGTGAGAATGGATAGAAATCATATGACATTCAAAGGACACCTGAGAGGACCTGGAATCTGCACACTTCATCTTTTTGAAAGGGGGTGGAGGAGACGGGCTGTGAGCCAAGTGACAGGGGAATAGTCACAAATCAGGTTTGCCAGGTACTGGGAAAGCTAAAATCACTTCCAGAGCATCTCCTCTGGCACAGAGATTCTCAGGTGACTCACATAGCAGGACATGGCATAGGGTTGGTTACACATTAGAGAGGCTTGAATACACAGGTGCACACATGCGACTGAAACCAGCAGCTGGAAAAGGCTGGCACAAACCAGTCACATAAAACAAGGCATCTGAGACTGGGTTCAGACACAGTGGAGCACGTTGAGACCTCAAATGAGCAAAGCACCTTTTCCTGTCAGGTTCACTCTGCCTACCTTTCAGGGGGAACCTACAAGATAGCTTAAAAGCAACAAATCCATATTTTCTCTGACAAAAGATATGACAAGATGCACAGAAGCCGACTGACAGATCTGTAATGAAGTACCATCTCTATATGGAATCACAGAAATTTATTTTCATCTGAGGGCTAAAAAGAGAGTTGAATATAAATTACATTATCATCCAGGAAAAAAAAATAATCTGCTTTCTCACTGTCCATGTTGGTCATGTTTCTAACAGTGAGATCCCTTTTCTCTAAGGCACTCAGTGCTCACTCTGGGTTTGTATAGGACAGGTACCTCCAGGCACAAAGTTGGAGCTGATAGAGCCCTGAGTAGACAAGCACTGTTGGTATGAAAGGACTCCTAGCCATTCTGCCCGTGGTCGAGAGGTGGGTCTGGTATGCAGACGATAAGCAAGTAAGCTGATACCATAGGGCAACCCCCCTATTGACCCTTCAGCACTTATTGATTGGTTATAAGCTTGATATAGGACTGCATTTGTACAATCAAAACCAGGAACTTGAGGCCAAATGGTCCCCACAAGTGTTGAAGATAAGTCCTGACTATCCCTGCCAAGTAAAACTTCTGATTTCCCTCCTCAGGGCAGCACAAGACAGAGGAGTTCCGGAAAGTGAATGTCCTGATGAAGGTGCCTGCACTAAGGGATGGTTCTTTCACCTTAGCAGAGAGGTGAGGTTCAAATAAGCTCAACCCCTACCTGCAGTATTGTTTATCCCGAAGCTTGGATTCTGCCAGTGCACTGCTGGGACTCCAGGCCAGGCAGGTTTTTTCTTCCTTCCTGTCTGTTCCACTTGTACACAACAAACCTACGTTTCAAGAGAATCTTCGTTATGTAAGCAACTCAAACAGCATTGATAGTGCAAAAATCTGTGGGCTGCTGCTCAGAGCTACTTTGCATGTAGGCAATGTTTCTGAGCTTAAATACCTGTCCATGTGTCCTCCTGCTCTCTGCCTGCAGCTGGAAGCTGTAGGTCAGCGCAGGAAATCTGACATAAGGCACCTGCTGCTGAATGGCCAGGCACTGTGAAGGTCAGCTTTGGTATAAACTCATTCTGCAGCTCCTATTTGCTCAACAAATGTGTTGATGGGGTTACTGTGCCAGCAAGCCACATCTGTCTCTCTGGGTGGATGTATCAGATAATTGCTGCCCACAAGCAATTGTGCTGGTCGAGCCAGCACAAACTCTCTCCTCTGCTGTGCCTTGCTGGCAGTTACACGTCCTGCACTTCTACCTGACTCGGATCAGGTTTGTGTTGTTGCTTGTCCAGCAGTGCAAAATTTTCGGGAGAAGAAAGGACGAGGTGCTTTAATCTCAGATGATCAGCTCACTGGTCTGTCTCGCTCTTTGGGCAGCATTGCAATCCTCCTGTACCTCGCCCAGAAATTCAAGACTCCTGATCACTGGTACCCATCTGACCTGCAGAAGAGGGCGAGGGTTGATGAGTACCTGTCGTGGCAGCATGCCAACATCCGTGCCAAGGGGAGCAAGGTGTTCTTAATGAAGGTGAGACCATTATACACCAAAAATTAAGTGCTAAGAGCTGTGAGTGCAACAGCCCACCTGTGTGCAGGGCCTTCCCGAGCAAATGTACAAGTCAGATGACAGATCAGGACAAAACTAGATCTGGAATTGAACTTGGCTGCTCAGCTGAGCCTAACTGAAGTGGCCTGAATCTTTCATGGTGCTACTGCTCTGTGAGACCCAGAGCAAACTCGTCCTGGGTGAGCAGCTCTCACCAGACACAGCTCAGCGCCTGCTGCTCGGCTTCCTGGAAAGAACCAACCTCCTGCTGGAAAACAAAATGCAGCTGCTGGCAGATGATGCAGTCTTCCCTTGAGAGGAGATTCTTGTGGTTGAAATTTCAGATTTCTAGGGAGGAGACAAGGAGAGGCAGGAAGTGGTGACTAACATTAATGTTGACCTGGCAAGAGAGATAAGCAGTTCCAGTTGTTCTCTTGCATGGCTGGTGAGGGATCCTCAGAGGGTGGCAAAGAGAGGGTGATGACTAGGTTTGGAAGGAATCACCTAAAGAGCAACTTGTTTCTTCTCCCTGCCAGGTGCTGCTGCCGGTCCTCACAGGCCAGCCCCTTTCTGCAGAGAAACTGGAATTTCTTATTGAGGACCTCAATGTTGTCCTAAAGCAGTTTGAAGAGAAGTTCTTGCAGGACAAGCCCTTCATCGCAGGCAGTGAGATCTCCCTGGCAGACCTCGTAGCGCTGGTGGAGCTCATGCAGGTGAGCATCGATCCCAGCACTGCTGGATATGTGGGCTGGGCTGTGGGCAGGCCAGGCCAAGGGGTGGCTGCTGCACCTGTAATGGCAGAGCTCCCTGCAGTTAACCCTTCCATGGGGTTAAGTCTTGCTCCTTTTTGACTTTTACCCTAATTAAGTTTGCCAGGGAACACCTACTCTGATGATGATGATGATGATGATGATACAGTTCTTTCTATAGAAATATGGTTAAAATTCCTCAGGAAAAAAAAAGATAAATTATTAAATAGGCAGAGAAAGTAAAGATATTTGAAAGAGATGTGTTGGTGTGCATGAACCTCGGTGTTCTGTGTTAGGCAGTTCTGGGGTTAGCCATGGCAGAGCTGTTTGCTGCATGTCCCGGGGGACAGCAGCTGCTGAGGATGTCACCACTTGCTTCCTATGAGCTAAGAGCCAGAGATGAGCTCCACCCAATGTGATGACTGACTGCTGCCTTGAGCCAAAAGCCTAGCAGTCCTTCCTTTGGTCCCATCCCTGGCAAATGCCTTGTTTGGCTCACTCCCAGGTGCTCTCTCTCTCCCTGCAGCCTGTAGGTGCTGGCTACAACCTCTTTGAGGAGAGGCCCAAGCTGGCGGAGTGGCGCAGGCGGGTGGAAGAAGCTGTGGGGAAGGAGCTCTTCCAGGAAGCCCACGAAGGGATCATGAACATTAAGAACTTGACTGCTGATCAGTTTGCACCTGAAATGCTGGAGGGTTTCAAGCAACAGCTCCTGAAGCAAGTCAGCCAGAATTAGAGGATTATGCTCTAATAAAAAAGATTATTTTATGAAGGTTTATTGTAGTCTTTCAGCATTTCTTCTAAAAATAATACAGAAACACCATTCCACAAAATGCACTTTCCTTTACTCACAGCCTTTCTGCAACTTAGAAAGGAAGAAAAATATATCTTAAACTTCTGTGAGCTGCTTTCTCCTCCTGTGCACTGCAGCATGGGAGCTGTAGCCCTGAAGGCTTTTCTTTCATGCTCCAGCACCACTGGATCTGCTTGAGGACTGAGCGATTCAGCCTGTGTGGAAACAGGGGCCAGTCAGAGCTGCCTTCTCCATCTCTGTTCAGAGTTTTCCAGGCGAGAGCAAAGGTTTCCTGAGGGTATGGTGGAACAGGTGTATCCGAAACAAGAAAAAGTAATTGTAGCAGATGGTTTTCACTCTGCAAAGTGAAAACTTCCAACTCTGCTGGAAGATTTTTGCTCTTTAGGAAAGAGGCAGAACGGGACTCAGCCCCTGCTGGGGACACTGCCAGGGCTCTTAGAGCACCTGGCCACTAGATGCTGCTGCATCATCTGCAGGAGCAAAGGGACACAGTGCCCAGCAGCAAGGAGATGTGTGGGTACCCAAGGAAGGCCTCCAGCTTCTGGGAAGGATGAGGTTGGTCCTGTCAATAAAATTCCATGACCACAGACTCATATCACACTCTACAAAGAACACCCTGCACAGTGGTGAAAAGCTGCTTTTCTTGGTCAAGCTGCTGCCAACCACACGGTCCCCACTGTAAACCACACAAGTGCTCGCTCTGTTTTCCCACAGTGGCTTTGTCAGCTCAAGAGAAGCCACTTAAGCCAGGCTATGTGCCTGATGGGGGGCTGCGGTGGCCGGGCCAGCACTGAGGGCAGCAGGAGCTGTGCTGGCCAGCCCTGGGTGAGCAGAGCACTCAGTACAAGAGCTGAGTAATGCCCCAAACACAGTTAATATTCCACTCTTCTTTTGCCTCTTCAGATCCTCCAGTAAGGTTAATGGTTACATTTTCCAGGTGTGGTAGCTCTGTTTGGGTTTGTAAACAGGATTTGGAAGGAAGTGGACATTGAGTCATCCTGCACACCTGTGCAGCACCCTTTACAACCTCTTGCCTGTGTCCCTTTGTGCCCCTCCTGCCTTCCTGTCCTCCTGTCTTGTGACCTCCCATTTCCAGGTATGGGCTTCCGCAAGGAGGGTTCCAGTTTGCAGAATTGTTTTTTCCCCGCCTCCTTGTTAAGCTCTGGTTGTATCTGGAAGTCTGTCTGTGCTGGCTGGTTACACCATCCACAGAGGTGGCCATGCAGAACGCTGGGGGTGAGATGTCAGCCATCCGAGTGCGAGCCATGACAGTGCTCAGAAAAGGTCCAAGTAGCTGCTCAAACAGTCTCACGCATGTTTTCAGTTGGACCTGCTGTTTTTGGGGAACGAGCCAGCTCCCTCTTCTGTGTTTGTCTCCTGAGTAAACCTGCCCTTTAGTTAAAAAGGGCACGTGAACTACAGTTTGCAACTCACATGCCTGTGGGCTGAGCTGTAGCAGCCAAGCAGGCTGGTCCCTTTACCTTCCGTTCCTCCGGCCTACGGGAAATCCTAAATGTGAGTGGTGAAAAGGCAGCGTTTCCCCAAACTTTTTCAGTTTCAGTGCTGACACATGCAGGGATATTTGTCTTCTGACCTGGTTTTTTGTGGGTAAATTTGTTGAGAAGAGCCTGTTGCGTGCCAGTGAGTGAAGTCAATGACAGCAGCTCTCGTCTCGCCCCAAGGGTGCCTGAGCAGCAACCCCTGACGATGCTGCCCCAGTGCTCAAATTGCCAGCAGTGCTGAGCCTCAAGAGAACAGCCTGTTTACGTTGTACCACCAACCGCTTCCTTCCCTCTGTAACCTGCAGAGGGTTTACCACAGTCACCAGCTACGCTGCTGTGCACCCTGCAGTTAAAGAGATGCCTTTGCTGCCTCACAGAGGCTGCCCAGGCTTGCTGCACTCTGCTGTTGGCACCTTTGTACTCACCCTAACTTCAAGATTCCTGACTTCCAACTTTTCCCTTTCTTGTAGAGAGCAAACTTCCTACCAGCACAGTAAATGTCTCCCACAGCTTCTGCTCAAGTAGAATCAGAGCAGAAGAGTAATCAAAACCAAGAGCCTGTTCTGCAGAGTGCTAACCCTGACAAACCTCAGACAGGGCTTGGGAGCAGAGCCTTTCCTGACACACATCTCCCTGCAGAATCTCCAAACAGGGCTACTCTGCACGCAAACCACTGCATGAGCCAAGGTAAATACGGTGCCTTTTTTTTTTTTCATTTTCTAATTTACAATACTTGTAGCACAAGAGCTCCATGTAAGAGTCTCGAGCCAATTTTGTTCTAGTTTGAGTATGGCACAAGTTCCTTAAATGTCACCCATTGTGTACTCCTGCGAGGACAGCTGCCTTCAAAACCAAGCTGGAACTATGTTCTGAGCTGGCCCTCTGGTGCTCCTCCACTGCTGTGTCACAAATGATAAGCACACTCTCCTCACTCCAGCCTGGTCATGGTGACAGGAAGAGATTTTCAGTTGTTTTTCCCATGGTCTCTGCTCTGTTGTATGTTCATGGTGCAGTAACCAGTGGCATTTTGGGCCGTTCTATGCACATAAGTCAAAGCACCTCCCTAGAGCACTCCTTGGATGGTCACAGAGTTGTACAACAGATGCCTTGATTTTTGCTCTAAATTGTGGCGATAAGGCAGCTCATCCTTGTACTTTGCCTTTTGCTATCCCTACACCTCCACATTTTGTGTCATTTGATCTTGTCAGGTTCCAGTTCCTAGATTGAAAGCCCTGAAAGCTGCCTGCCAAAACCCAACAGGTTGTGCAAGAGTTTTGCCTGCCTTGGTGCAATGTCTGTTGTTGAGAGTCCACTCCCCTTCCACCCTGAAAAGGGAGAGGGTCACACCTCCAGTGTTAGTTTAACATGCTGTTCGATTCAGTTTTCTCCATTTCTGCCAGGGGCTATTTGGAAACAGGTGAGAACCTGTGACTTTTAGAATAAAATGAAGCTGGTGTACACAAAATGGGAGGAATAGTTAAAAAGCAGATACACATCCTGAAGCCTTTTCTAAATTATTAAGAAATAAATTGCGGAACTTAATGCATTGTTTCTGTCTTGTTCCTGTTCCCATAAAGCTGACAGAGAGGCACAAAAAATGGCCTTTGAGGTGAATGAAAATACAGTGCTAGAAGCTCAAGCCTGGAGCCAGGAATAATCAGTCAAATGGCCTATAACAACCAGATAAAAATACCTCTTGGGTTGTGTGGGCTGTGCAGTGCAGTCAGCAAAGTGGAGAAAAACTTAAGGAAGAAATATTTCCAGGAGGCACATGAAAAGATCTTTGAAGTCCAGATAGGACTAATAGATCAACTGAACCATAAATAAAGGAGCAAAGTGAACCCACGCTGCTAAGGTTGCTGCACACCACTGAGATCAACAAACTCTTCACAGGGATATCTCAGAGTAGGGACATGCAACCACTCTGAAACACAAAGACTTCTCAGACTATTACCTGTGCAGAGCCACTTTCACGCTCCTTTTCCCCACTCCCTTAACATTTAAGATTCCTTTGTACTGAAGCAGTTTGAACTCAAGCACCTACCACAGCACTCTACAAGCCTTGATCTCCAGCATATTGGTGCTGGGTGCAGGTGCTCTAGAGGGTAAACTGTGCTTGCAGAGGAACTGGAGGGTGTGCACAGCCCCTTTCCCCGTTCTGGCTGAGAAACCAAAAAACTCTTATAGTGTGGTTCTAAATCTGAAAGTTCTAAACTCCTGAAAGTGTTCCAGTTTGTTATTTACCCAGACCTCCCAGCTCACTAGCTGAGCCTTCTCATCACCCTTTGTGAAAAAAAGAACAAAAGCAACTGATCCTCCAGTTCCTTCTCCCTGAAGTTCACATGGCTCTTTCCAAAAATCTGTGCAACACACAGGCTCTCTGGCACAACACTGATAAAAAGGTGTCAGCTGAGCCGAGCTGGGTTTGACTGGAGGTGACTTTGCTCTAAGTGGTTCAGCTGCTCTATCTCCCAGAGTCCCAGAAGTCCCTGTACTCAGCCAGTACGTCACCTTCCCTGAATCACATAGCTGTGAAATGCTGCAGGCCCAGTGCAAGGGCTCGAATTGAGTCTAAGCTTCTTTAGTTCTCCTCCACTTGTGTGGAAATCTGAAGTGACAAGTACCAAGGAGAGCAGAAAGTCACTCTGAGTAAGTATGCAGATGTAATGCCTGCAGAGAAGTCCTCCACGCTTCACTGCCATTCAGGTGTCACCTCGCAGGACTGGGCAGAGACTACATGACCAAAGAATTATGTTCTGAACTGAAAACCATCCTGAGATCTGGCAGTGTGAGATTAACGCTGGCTTAGCAGACATTGTGCAAAGGCCTTGTCTGCAGAGTGGCACATCCCTGCAGAGCTGTGTTACCAGAACAAGCATTTACCTTCTAAGAGCCATGGTGGGATGTTGAGGGTGAGAGCAGCTCCCGAGCCCCTGTGATGCCAGCCAAGGCTGCAGGGGGAAGTAACAACCCCTGTCCTCTCAGTGCTTAGTGCCAACCTCTCATTTGAGGCTGGCAATTGACCCTTACTCGCAGTTTATCTCTTGTGTTACCTTCCTTTCCTAAAGGAAAATGAAAAGGCACGGTGCCAGCCCCAATGGGCCAGAGTCTCTCGACGGTTGCATAGGGAACTCTTGTGCCCTCTGCCCAAACTCCAGCCGTGCTTCCCCGCCCCTGCCCCAGCCGGGGGGGCTCTCCTGCGCTTCTCTGATATTCTCCAGACAGCGCCCCGCAGGAGGCTGGCACCCCACGGTCCCCCCACGGCTCACACTCGGCTCCCCCCGGCTCCGTGCCCCGCACAGCCACCGACCCCGCCCGGCGCGGCCCGGGGAAGGGAGGAGGGGAGGGACGGAGGGCACCTCCCGCCCGGCGCGGCTCGGCCCCCGCCGGCCCATGCGGGGCGGCTCCGGACGGCGGGCGGCAGAGCCGCGGCAGCTCCGCGCAAGACGGGATGGGGCTGGAGCTGTACCTGGACCTGCTCTCGCAGCCCTGCCGCTCCATCTACATCTTCGCCCGGAGCAACAACATCCCCTTCGAGTTCAAGCACGTGGAGCTATTCAAAGGTGGGACGGGTGCCCCGGGACGGAGCGGGGCCGGGGCGGGCGCAGCCCGGCAGGGCGGCGGGCTCAGCCCCTCTCTTGGCTCTTGGCAGACTCGGTGCTGGGGAAGAAGCCGGCGGCGGGGAGCGGCGCGGAGCAGCCCCGCGCAGGTGAGAGCGGGGCAGGGGTCGGGAGGGTCCCCGCGGCGGGCACCGAGCCTGTCCCCGGGCGGGGAGGGGCCGGACGGGCCGCGCTCCGGGGCGCTGGAACGCGATCCCCCAGCGGGGACCGGGCTGAGCCCGCCGCTGCCGACCTGGACCTGCGGCGGGTTTGCCCTCCTGGCCCCCGGGGGAGCCCTTTCGCTTCCCGGCAGAGGAGCAGCAGCACGTCCTTCGGCCTGGTGAGAGGGAAGGACGAGCTCCCGGGGTCACCGAGTGATGCTGAATCCGTGCGCTGCCCAGGGGCATTGAACGCGGTGGTTTGACCGTGCGACTCCTGTTCCCAGAGCGGTCTCGTAGCTCCGCTGCATCTATTTTTGTGGATCACCAAGGAATGTTCTTCCAGCCATCTCTAGCAAATTAGTCACAGTGACAGCCGAGGAGTGCTCTGGGAATGCTGTACTTTGCAGAAACACGCAGCTGTCCGGGCTCCCCCAACTATATAACTATTGCCCAGTTACATGTTGCATTTTCCGAGTAAATTGTTGCTTTTGTGCCTAAGGCAAAGCATAGTACTTGGAAATCCTTAGCTGAGGACGTGATTAGGCAGCGACACGATTGGCAAATAGACTGGAGTTTTTCCCTTTCTATTTCTGTAAAATCTTGTCCATTGCTCTTTTTATTCAGCAGTAAGTTTCCTTCCTTCTACTATGACTTACACTTAAGAATTTCTTGTGTGTGCAGCCTGCCTTGCTTTTTTTACACGTATGCTTTCCTTGTTAAAGTTACTCCTCAAAGCCCAACAATACACACACTGTATATATCTGTATATTCTTGAGCGACATCAAGATCTAATTACACCAGACACAGCTGATGTTAAACAGAACCATAAGTCAAGTCAACATCACAGGAGTGATAAAGATAGGCCACCTAATACCAGTAAACAAAAAGGCTGGCTATGCTGGCTGGGAGAGAGGTGGAAGCTTAAATTTTGCTCTGTGTGCAAAGACTTTGTACAAACCAGAGCACATGAAGTGCCATCTCTGGGCTGAGCTGCAGGCTGTGTTATAGACACTGACCTACTGTCCAGCCTGATGTAATGACATGTTAGTCCCATCAGGGAACAAATACGCTCAGTATTCCTGCTAGGACTGCTGTGTGATGAAAGCTGACTGAAATCTGGTTCAGGCTACCTTCATCCACTGCTTACTTCTTGTGTCCTTGTTTCTTAGTTTCCTGCTACCTTGGATAATAAACACAGACAGCAGGACAACCACTGGGTCTGACAAGGGACTGCTCGTTAGTTGAAGCTTTACTGACTGGAAACTTTCTGCTGCTTTTTTCCAAGGACCCCCTTACTACTCACCAGATCTCACCAGAGCTGGGTGTATGATGACCACTGGCCTTTGGAGCCCTTCTAAAAGCACAGGACCAAGCACCTTCCTCAAGCAACTCCTTGCATGACAATAGATTACAAAAATTTGCCTTGCTGTTTCTGTGATACAAATCATGTGTGTGAGGCACCTTGTACTTGGCCTGCTGGCTCAATTTTGGGGCATTTTTATTTTTATATTCAATTTTCTCAATTATTAGGCTTAACTTGCACTTTCTGTCTGGCTCTTATTCCTAAGAAGCTCTGTCTTCCTACCTCTCCTGACAGTGCTGCGTGGTTCTGCACATGGAGCCTCTTACCCAGCTAAGCTGGAGGCCACCATCACAGCAGGTAGCCAGAGAGTTTTCCCACTGAGATGGAACACATGGGTTTGAATCCCTTCAGGTGGATGTGAAGCTTGGTCTCTGATGAAGCTACGTACACTGGAATTTAAGAAAGCACTTCTTAAAGAAGAAACAAAGTAGAGGCTAGTCAGCTAGAAAGGAAAACAGGGTGGTAACATCTGCTCTGCTTGATTTGCCTCATTCTGTGAAATCTATATAGGGAAAGGAGTCTGTAATTGTAATGCAACTATCTGCCTTCTCCTGCCCCTTCCCAAACCATATGCAAACAAATTTGATAGTCCAGAGGGTGGTTTTATTTCCTGGAGACTTATTTCCTGCTGCACATTTGTCCAGTAAAGCAGACACTGTCACTGCCTCCTGAATGAGGGCAAATAGTTCTTGGGGATGGAGATCACTCTTAGTTAAGAGTCCTTCCTTTCCCCCCCTCCCCTCCTCCTAAGGAGCACTTAAAACAAGCAAAGCACACAAATTCCTCAAAGCTTTTCTACTCAGGTGTTCCTGGACTGTTGTACAATTCCCTGGCATTTAACTGCTGACTGGCAAGTGCAGTGCCAGCAGCAGGAAACTGAAAGCCTTGATGGTCAGCTGATAATGCCTCCAGGGGAGTGTGGAGTTTAAATTCTTATGGGATGGTGTCTTCCTCCTGCATTTTCCTATCAGAGGTAGGCTGACATGCAGATTCAGGAGTAACACAGAGTCAGGAGTAATGAAGGGTCGAGGTGTCTGAGCTTCCTTGTCCCTGGTTGTCTTCATCCTAACTTCTGTCTTTTTTCCCTCTGCCTCTAAAGCCATAGGACACACTGTTCTCAAGACAAGTCAGCTGTTCCTTGTTATGTGCAATGGTGTTTTCAGTACCAGCACCTTCACTGTATGCCCTCAGTGCCCCTCAGGGAGTGATTTTTGTCCGTAAGTTTTGCCAGAATCCTGGTCCCTGAGTCAAGCCATAGAAATCCTGTCATCCTGTACAGAAATGTGAACTGCTCGATGCTGCAGGCCCAGCCTGAGCTGACTGCCCTCTACAGACAGCTCTTACACTGACTCCTCCATTTCATTACCTTTTAATTTTGAAATATGGCCATATCAGGAAAACCCAACACAGGTCACTGATTGTCCAGTTGGCTGCAGGTATCTCATTTATCATTCACTGACAGATACACTTCTAACCCCTATTCTAACCTGTCTGTTCATGTTCTTAGGGCCATCAAATAGTGAAGGCACTGGCAAAGTCAACCTCTTAAAGAAAGTACCAGCACTGAAGGACGGAGACTTCACCCTTGCAGAATGGTAAGAACTCAGTCCTTAGACTTCCCTGGGTACCAGCAATCTGTGCTGCATTTAGAAGATGTCATTCCCATGGAATGATTAAGGATCAGAGAATATATGAACATGTTGGTTATTTTTAATAGTATAACCTCATTTGATCTCTTTCCATTTTCTGTTTGAAGTATCTTTCAGAATGTAAACAATTCAACTGACTTAGCTTCTTAATCTCACCCTGAATGCACTTACCTCAAAATGGGATTATAAACATTTCTGGGAAATGTTTAAAGCTTATAAAAATTCTTTTCACCCTAGGAAAAGAAAAACCCTTTTACTCTAGGAAAGAATTCTGTTTATCTGAATTAGTCATAAAAGCTGAGTGAACACCTCCAGAGATAAAATTTAGGCTTTACATTAAAAGACTAATATGGAGACTGGTTAATGATGTCATAATGCTGAAATATTTGAACTGTGGTAGTACCAGCATAGTAGAGGGGTCTGCATTTTCTTTCATTTTGTCAGCACATTTTCTCTGGTATTTTTATTTGTAGTAACAGCCTAAGTATTGTTGCAGATGACTAAGATATTTTTCCATCTGACTTCTCCTGCCAGTTAGTGGAAGTATAAACATCTGGACAAACACAAAAAGATTCTGTAGGGTTTCCTTGCTGGGCCTTCCACAGACTTCAATGGAAGCTGCAGGCTGGAGACAGGCCTGGTGAAAAGGCAGCATAACTCATTAGAGAGTTTTGTACACAAGCACATAAACGTGCAGGTCTCGGAGAGATGGGTCAGAACAGTCAAGGAGCAAGCAGAGTTACCATTGTTGTAGATGATAATGGAGATTTATTGTTTGTTTGCCCCAGTACTGTCCAGCAGCATCACAGAACAGTGCTGTGATTTTCCAGCAAGTTAAAGTTCTCATGGGAACCAAGGTGATTAAGGGCCATCTCTGATGTCAACATGAATTAGATGCCTTTATATGACCCCTAGACTCCACTGGAAACCCTGATCTGAATGCTTTCTAGTGAAAGCAGAGTTCAGAAGGAGCAGGGGAAGGATCTTAGGTGAGAGCATTCTGCATCACAACTGCCTGACCCCTTTCTTGTCTCCTGTTGATGCGTGAGCAGCACTGCCATTCTGCTGTACCTGAGTCGAAAGTACAACACTCCTGACCACTGGTACCCATCAGACATACAAAAACGGGCCCGGGTAGATGAATACCTCTCCTGGCATCATGCCAACATCCGGGCTAACGCTCCTAAGACCATGTGGATCAAGGTAAGGAGACTGACTATTCAAATGTGAATGAAGTGATGTTTGCCTGCGAGACTGCTGAGCATTTGAACAGCCCCAATCTGGAGGGAGTTTGTCATGCTGAAACTGCAGACCTGGGCCATTCCCAGCTGAGAGGAGCTGTTGGAGAGGGAGCTGTTCTGAACTGATCAACATCAGGATTTGGCAAAAGCAGCTTTGGCCGTTTTTTTTTTTTTTTCCTTAAAGTACATCTTATACAGAAGGTCTCAAACCCAACAGAATTCCATTGCCTGGATTTGTGAGTGAATATATAACTGATTGGGTATTGCCTCCAGGGGCCTCCCCCTCACTGCACAGCTGTGCAGAACGTGCACAGCGGCAGAAGTTTGGCTTTGGTGAGCATGTACTTTGTTGCTGGAAGCAGAGAGACTTGCTGTCTTCATACAAAGCCCTGCAGCCCCATCAGGGTAGAAATCCAGAAGGAGCTTTCTGCTTCTAGTACACTTAGGTACTGGGCTCAGACACAGAGAGAAGAGAGACTCAGAAATGCAGATTTTCCTTATTCAGTGTAGTCAGGTCAATTTACATTTAGGCAAAATTAAAAGAATTACCCTGAGGCAGAAACTCATTTAGTATCAGATGATTTTGCTGAACACCTATTTCCAGCCAACTCACAGTTAATGCAGCTATCTCAGAGAGACCCAGGTGCAAATATAGCCCTGCAAGTACATCTGTAATATGGAATTTCAGATGAAATAATGGTTGCTAGTGAACAGGTAAGAAGTTCACTCCTCCCTTGTAAAGTTTGCCCTTGTTTGTGCCTAACAAAGCATATCGGGACTCATTTAGCTTCTTGATTTATTGGCATTTGATTTTTTTTGGCTATGGAGTACAGAGAAACAAGTCAAATATGAGTCAGATTCATAAAAGAAGCAGTTTCTTCCAACCTCTGCAGGCTGTTACTGCAGTGTTCTAAGGGAAAGAAATCCAACTAATTGCTGCAGATGATTAGATAACCCACATGCAGAAAAGGTCCTCAGAATAACTGAAAATATGGAAACATATAAAGCCACCATGTAACAGAAGCATATTTGCTAGAAATGGGAGAAGAGATAAAGAAAAGAAGAAGCTGTTTAAAGTGATTTTATCCAGAGATCCCGTCATGCATAATTGGAATCACTGAGGAAGAGAATTGGCCATGGATTTTCTGATGAAATATATTCCACATGTATTTGGCCAAAATTATGGCTTGGATTAAGCAATCTCATCTTGAATTGTTGAATATACTTGCAGTAAGCAGAAATTCAGTCACCTCGCACTGATTGAAATTTGTATCTTTAATTTTCATTCTCTAAATAAACTGTATTTCTTTAACTGTGGAAGGTGGAGGCAGCCTACTTGTGAAACACTGTGGGCTCTGGTGGTGGCTGTACCCCCGTGAGCAGCTAATAATGTCTTAGAAAGGCAACGACCCTCTGTGCCAGCAAGTCTGTGGAGACACAAGGACTGCAGTTATGTGATTGCTCCAGAAAAATTTTCAGTGGTTTAAAGAGCAGTGCGTGGGAGGCCTCAGAAGGGCTGGTGTAAAAACGGTGTTGACCCACTCCCAGCCTCACTGGCCGCTGCCACACAGAGCAAGCCATTTCTGCCTTTCCAGCCAGTCCCTCCAGCATTCTAGTACCACCTCACACTCCTGCCACTACCACCACCATTCCCTCCTGTCCATCATCCTGTGGGACAGGCAGCTGCCTCCAGCACCCAGTTCCATGGCTGGGGTGGCTGGTGGGCAGGCAGCTGCTGACCTGCCTTGGCTGCCTGGTGAAACAGAGGATGTAACAGAGGTGAATGTGGCAGAGATTTGTCTTCCCCACTTTTGTTTTGTAACCCAACAGGGTGGAGTGAGGGCACAACTGCCAGGGACAAAATGAGATGATTGATTTAGTTCTGCACATTGCTGCTGATCAACTGGAGTTCAGGTCGGCCCCTTTGGCCTGCACGTGTGCTCTCTGTCCATGAGCTACTTGGAGCTGTAGCAGTCCATGAAGCTCCAGCATCATCCCCTCCTGCGGCTTTGCTGCACTATCACTGACAATCAGGAGTAGTTCATGGGATGTAACTGAGATTACTGCGATTGGATCCATGAGAAGACAGCCAACTGTACTTTGAAGTCCCTTCTCTCCTCAGGTGCTCATTCCCCTCTTCACAGGGCAGCCACTGCCCTCTGAGAAGCTCCAGGAGGTTATGGATGGGCTGTCCACTTCCCTGAAGCAATTTGAGGAGAGGTTTCTGCAGGACAAGGCTTTTATCATCGGGAGTGAGATCTCCCTGGCGGATCTTGTGGCCATTGTGGAGCTGATGCAAGTGAGTGGTGGAGTTTGGTAAGGAAGTGTCAGCACAAGGGAAAACAGATGCTGCTGGGCAGGGAGGGTGCAGCATGTGGTAACACTTCAGTAGAAAGAGAAGCGAGGGCATATCTCAACAGAACTGGCCTAAAACAATGGGGAGAATATGGGAGTGGGTTTAGAACACAAAAAAAAAGCTGGCTGAAACAGATCTCTTTTGTTTCTCTTCTCTAACAATACCTCTTCTTCAGTCTTTATCATGACTTTATTTTTAACCTCCAGAGAAAGAGGTAATATATTTAAGTGAGAAGCAATAGCAGACAGGTCTGATGAAATAAGAAAACAATATAGGAATATTTTTATCATTCAAAAATAGGGTACTTGCCCATGCCATGTCTTGAAGATGCAAGAATTAGTCTCAGACAGAAGCAATCTAATTAAATCTGTTACAAACTGGTTGTTCTTTGTCAGAGCTGTCCTGCAAACTGTGCAGTGGTCCCTGGAACTGCCAGCCCACCACGTCTTCAATGCTGTGGCTGAAAATCACTCACAGTAGCTGGTAGTCACCTCTGCTGCTCATAACAGCTCTTCCAGCTCTCAGGACTTGACTTGTGGATGCCTTTTAAAATACAGTTTAGCTTCTGTGTGCCCTAGATAGGTACACCCCACCAGAGGAGATTTCCCTCCTTCCTTCTGCTCCTCTATGAACTCTTCATTTTTTTTCCTTTATCAGTACCTCAGGGTACACTTTTGGTGCCTGTTGTCTCTGTGAAGAAGTGACTGCCCAAAGCCTCACTGTTGCTTTCTCACCTTTCTGCAGCCCGTTGGAGTTGGTTGTGACATCTTTGAGGACAGACCCAGGTTGATGGAGTGGCGCAGGCGGGTGGAGGATGCTGTGGGGAAAGAGCTTTTCTTCCAAGCCCACGAGATGATCCTCAATATCAAAGAACTGAGCAACATTCAAATTGACCCACAGCTGAAAGAGCAGCTGGCGCCTGTGTTGATGAAGATGTTGAAATGAATTAACCTATCTTACAATTTTTCCTGCCTTTTTTTTTCCTTTTTTTTAACTTCTTCTCTGACCTCCAGTTCTACATGTAACTGGAAAGAGCACTGTAATTCTAACACAGAAATTGTGGAGTGTTTTCCCCCTGGGCCAGGCCTTTCTTGTATCTTTGGAGGTAGAAGCTGGGGAAGGTTTAAGAACTGAAACATTAAATCTATACAGAAGGCTGAGGCCCTACAGGTCACTTAATATGCATCTGGATTTTATTTAGGTGTCAGTCTTTTCAGTGATGGTAGAGACAAGAATGGTATTTCCTGACAGAATCTGAGCCAGCCTATAAACTGGGAACATTAGAGAACTGAATAGGATGAGAATTGTTGTTTTCATGAGTTTTTAACATTTACACTGCAAAGTGTGCCTAATCCTCATCTTCCAGCACGTCTGCGCAGACAATTACAGCACAAAACTACTTCATAAAAGTGGACGAAATTTAATTTTTTTTTTTTTAAGTTTCTTATTTCTGAGGCATCTTGCTTGGCTGTCCATGTACATTCCACAGTTCCAGCTGCCTTTAGGTTCCTGTGACAAATTTCTTTGTATTCATCTGTAACTGTGAATCTTTATAATTCTTCAGTTTAACCACTGCCTTTGATTTCTGCAAGCCTGCGTTCCCTTGGTGCTCAGTCTGGGGCAGGGGCTGTTCTTGGAGATCTGTGCAGGAAAGACCAAGTCACTTCAACAAGCTGGTGATGGCCACAGCCTTGGAATCACTGCCTACCTAAAATACCACGTTGATATGATAGAGGAAGTACTCTGTAAGAATGCATTCACAGTGATTTCTTGAAATAATATATAACAGTAAACAAATGATTTTTTTTCTGTGGTAATACTGTAACAGCAATCCACATTTCTCCTAGGAAATGGATAGGGGGAATAAATGCAGACAGGGAATAAACACAGACATGATCTTCTGTTTTGGATGGAAGTTCACCAAGTGACCCTGTGCAGCTGAAGCAATAAGAGAGACTTTGTGGCATTGAGCAATATATGCCTCACAATGAAAGGGCAGAGAGTTGTTTTGCAGCTTTTGGGCTCTTTTCCTTGGCTGTTTGTTTCTGGTTAGCTGTAGCTCAAATACAAAATCCTTTTGTACTGCAGCACAATTTATGAGGTAAAACTGAGCGAATCCAACCATTTCTAGTTCCTTCAGTTGAAAATAACAAATTGTAAAAGATGCAGAAATGGGTGGAATATACATCTGTGTATTTCCCTTCATAAGTAGTTATTGCCCTTGAACCTTACCCTGAAATCCTTGCCCAAGAACTCGTCCTGTTAAAGACTAAGACAAAATGAGTAATTAATTCAGGAATTGCTTCTCTGTTTTTTTGTTGTTTTTTTTTTCCCCAGTAGTACCATGTCTTGGCTGGTGTCACTTTTTCTGGCAAATTCTATAAAACTGATATGTTTTCATGATGTCTTTCATTAAAGTTTCAGTTCTAGATACTGTCTAATCTAGAGCCCAGAGAGATCTTTAAATTCCCTGTCTGGAAAGGGAACTCATTTATATACTTCAGCTTGCATTAGCAGGACATTTTGTTTTGTGATTAAGTTCTCCAGGAAGTCAAGAGATGTGACTGAAGACCCTCTCTGAGGGAGGTCTATTTCCCTACTGGAAATAGGCAGATATTTTTTCCTAACCTTCCTTTCTTCCCAACCATGAGCTGAATAATGTGTTTTTATTGATGTTTTGTTCACATAATATTGTCCACAACTGACTTAAATTTTAAATGGGAAGTGGATGATTTTTTTAATAATATTGAGAGTGGAATCTTGAAGTGGATGATGAAACTGCAAATGTCTGCAGGAGAGAAAAATCTCATCATTTTTGAAAGGCTGAGCATGTTTGAGACTGTGATGTCCTGTCTTGGTTGTTTGTCCTCCTACAAGCATTTTAACTGTCTAATCTGAGACAGAAACAATAAAACAAATGTCTTTAGTTTAATAAAATCTCTGTGAGGCCATGAACAATCTGCCATTCACACGGTGAACCATCAAGAGCAAAGGACAATGAGTATCTTTAAAGATGTTTGTTACAGTCCTCCATCCAGTTGTAATTACTGACATCTGATATGTGAATCTTCTTTCCCTTTAGAGGCCTTCTGATATACAGATATATATATAGAGGCCTTCTTGTCATGGGGAGGTTTTTTAGCCATGAAATTGGAAGAGATTTTTGGTATTTGAAGAAGCATCTTCCCTGGATCACTGACACCCAGCAAACAGGCAGGGTGGGCTTGTACCCAGGATTTGCAAGGTGGCTGAGTACCCCCACTACTTTTGTTTGGTGACAAATTCAGGACTATCTATTTACAAGATTATACATTTCTATAAGTTTGCCCTGTAATCTAACTTTTTTGGGGTTATTTCTTCTGCTGATGTCCTGGATTTAAAGGGAACATTTGTATTATTGCTTATTGCCGCAAGCAGCCACCTCCTGCCAGCCTGCAGAACCCCCTTCCCTCTCCCTTTGGGTCTCTCGCTTTGCAATCTCTCTCCTAGAAATCTTTTCCCAGACTTATTCCTGGCTGGTTTATACACATGGCTCCTTGTGCCAGTATTGTCTTCATTAGCAGCAGTGAAGGCCAAGCAATTCCCTCAGCAAAAAGAAAATGAGCAATTCCATCAGTTTTCATTAGCATGGTCCAGGACTGTAGAAACTCAAGTAGTCACATTACAAGGGGCCAATTTTCACAACAGTTCTGTGCCTTAAACAAGATGACCTTTCAGTCAAGCTGGTTCACAACCCTTTGCTGTAAATGAGCACATGGAACCTCACTGGACAGTAGCTCAGCTTCTGAGAAACCTCTGACCTCTAGCTAAGACACCTCTGATCTGTAGATTAGGCTGTCCCGGCGAGCCAGCCTGCCGGAGTCACTTATATCAACTCGGGAGCTCAAAGTCCTGATTGCTCAAAGTCCTGATAATGAATACGAAGTGGATGAAGGAGTAAACCTCTCTGCTTGCCTTTTAATTTCTAGTAGTTTTCCGAGAAATCACTGTGCTTCCATTCTAAACCTTCCCTGCACAGACAGGCGCAGAGGTGCCTATTGCAGCGACCTGAAATGTCACAGAAGGACTGTCACAAAACTCATTTTACCCAGCGAGACGTGTGAGGTGTCACAGCCCCTAATGCATATCCCAGCGCGGCACATGGTAAACCCCAAAGGCCCGACAGCCAGCTGGTGCAGCTGCGGTGGAGCAGAGAAAGCCGTGAGCCCTGCCTGGCGCTGGCACAGGGGCAGTGTGAGGGCAGGTCGTGCCCCGCGCTGCTGCGGCGGTCCCGGGGCTGAGCCCGCCCCCGCCGGGGCACCGTTGCCCGGGGGCGGGGCAGGGGCCGGGCCGGGCCGGGCCGGGCCGGGGGCCGTTTGGGGCCGCGGTGGGAGCTGCGCGATGCCGTTCGTGGAGCTGGAGACCAACCTGCCGGCCGAGCGGCTGCCGCCGGGGCTGCCGCAGACCCTGTGCGCCGCCACCGCCGACATCCTGGGCAAACCGGCCGAGGTGAGCGCGGGGCCGGGGCGGCGGGGCCGGAGCGGCAGGGCCGGGCGGCAGGGCCGGGGCGGCAGGGCCGGAGCGGCAGGGCCGGGGCGGCGGGGCCCAGGCGGCGGGCCGGGGCGGCGGGGCCGAGGCGGCGGGGCCGGGAGCGGCGGGGCCGGGGCGGCAGGGCCCGGGCGGCGGGGCCGGGGCGGCGGGGCCGGGGCGGCGGGGCCAGGGCGGCGGGGCCGGAGCGGCGGGCCTAACGGTGGCTGTGCCGGCAGCGGGTGAACGTGACGGTGCGGAGCGGGCTGCCCATGGTGGTGTCGGGCTCGGCTGAGCCCTGCGCGCAGCTGATCGTCTCCACCATCGGCGTGGTGGGCACGGCGGAGCAGAACCAGCGACACAGCGCCCGCTTCTTCGATTTCCTGACGGCGCAGCTGGGCCTCGGCACCGAGCGGTGAGTGCGGCCCGGCCGGGCGGGATCGACCTCGAGGGCAAGGACACCGGGATAACCCCTGGGGCAGGGAGAGGGAGATCGTCCCTTCTGTGCGCTCCACAGATCTGTGTGGTCCGTGGGTATATGGAGCACGACAAACCAAAGTACAGGGGGATGTTAAAGGGTAGTGAGGACGGGGCAGTTGCCATGTCCTCCAGGACGTTAAGGTGTAATAGAGACCCAAGACCAGATCGCAAACCTTAAATGCTCTTGGATGCTGAACCCCAGATACGTGGTTTGGGGCCATATAAAAGTGTGTACTAGTTTGCACTTGTTGAACAGTCTGGGCTCTAGCTGTTCTCTGAAGATCAGTAGTTCAGTTGGTGAAATTGAACCCCACAAGAGCTAGTAGAGCTTCACAGTGGCATCACCATGCCAAATATGGGAACAGGGTTGTTCCTGAAGGTCAGCCATGTCCCTCTGTGCCCCTCTCCCCAAAGGAGAGTGATGATAGCATTTCCCTGCCTCTTGGATGCTGCTGGGGTAAACCCGTGCCACAGGTTTGCTTGGGCCCTTCTGAATTGGACAGGTATCTCATAGACAGTGTTGAAATTCAGTCAGCTTTTATTTGTGTGTGTGAAGTCTGGCACTTACGTGTACTCTGCCCATACACTTATGTTTGCCTCTGTTAAATTAATATAATGAAGTGTAAGACAGTGAGACCTTAGTGCAGATTTTCTACCATGTTGCAAACTGGGCAGGGATAATATTTAATTGTAAAATAATGTTTCCTGTCCACTGTTCACATTTATGCTTTTATACCCAAAAGGATTGTCATCCGCTTTTACCCAGTGGAGCCCTGGCAGATTGGCAAGAACAGGACAGTCATGACGTTCCTGTGATCCCCTGAGCAGCCGGTTGGAACAAAGCAATGGTGAAGACAACCCAGAGATGACCAGCTCCATCTATCTACCTGTTTCCTCTTATGATCAAATCTGTGTAGCTCTACACCTTCACCTGAATGATTCACTTTTGTCTTTGCGTCCCGTGCACACAAAGCTGAAGAGTGGGGCAATGACCTGTACTGATTTAACTGAGATAGTTCAAGGTCAGTGTCTCCAGCCTGTCACGTAGCACAAAGGCTCTCATGGTGCCTAAGCCCAGCTGAGCCCTTGCACTCTGGTGATGGCCATGCATGTGTCTAGACAAAGCTGTCTTGTAGCAGTAAAAGTTTAATTCCAGAACAGTTGGCCTTATTATGGACCAGAGTGGTTCTGAGGTTTATCCAGATTTTCTCATACTTTGCCAGGCAGAAAAATCCTTCTTTCTCTATGGCAGCAAAAGGGTCCCAGGCTGGAAAAGATGACCTAGAAGTCAAATTTTTCTTTTTTTCAGGCTTTCCTTAAAGCCCTTTCAGGAAAGAGAGGTGATTATTAGGAGAGAAGTTTAGACATCGAAGTCTCCTGTCAGACCTTATGTTCTGTGCTCTGTCACTGCCACGTCCAGTGACTGCTTCTACAAATTGTTATTTGTCCACAAGATTCTCAGGGCTGAATGTCTGTGTGCTGATGGCAATGTCTAGAGGAGGGAGCCGTTTCTAAAGACCTGCATTGTGCCACAGGAAAATATTTTGAAAATTCTGCTCCAGCCAGTTTTATTTCTGTTATTTACTCAGTTCAAAGTACTTTTCCTCACCTTGCTGTGATGGATCACAGCATCTCACTGTGATCTGTGGCTGATATTCTCAGCAGAGAAGTATTTTGGGCTTTTAGGACCCATATGCTCCCTCACTTTATAACTGGAATTCACACATTATTTTATTAAAACAAAAGCAGGGTACTTTTTGTGTGTAGTGTTATCTCTGTCTTCCACTGATAGTGAAAACTTTTCAGTTTCTTTTGCACTTTGTGACTTGGTCAGGTTGAGGTCAGGGAGCTCAGCAGAGACTTGGGGGTCCACAGGAATGCAAGGGAGAAGGGGTCTTCTGTGCTCCTTTGTCGTTCTGATTGGAGTTTTGTTTATAACTTGAGGTCTCAAGGCAGTTGAAAATATTCTTTCTAATTACAATTTGAAGTTGGTTATTCCCTATGCAGCAGAAATAACTTCTATGTTTGCCAAATCTGTCAGGAATATAATACCAAACACAAATTTGTGTATCAGGCTGGGGGTCTACACCTTATCTGGTTAATAAACTGTAGCAAAGGTACTCTTGATAAGTGTCAGTTTATTGGTTTACAGCACTGGGGGTTTGTAGGTTCTTAGAGCCTGGAGACAGACATCGTGGCTGCTCAGGTCTCTCCACTTTCACAGGAGGTCTCTTCAACCAAAGGTTTTTGAAACTCAGGTAGTGAACAGGTAGGTGAACTGAGTCTGAGACCCAGTGTAGCTCAGGAGTGCTGCGGGGAAAGGGGTGGACAGCCCTGACTTTGCAAAGAGCTTGACCAGCTTGAGCTGAACATGCTGAAATGCAGAAAATAACCTCACTTTAATTCTTACCTGCGTTTCCTGGAGGTCCTACATCATGAAGGAATGAACACAAACTCTTGCCAAAGCCTCTGCTTCCTTCAGAGAAACTTTGCTCTGCCCTGTGTCCCAGCTCTCCTTTTTTGGGCCGTGTTGACCCTCATCCCCTCGCCCTTGGCTGCTCCCCGTGTGGGATCGTGCCTGGGAACAGCTTCCCCAGCATTGCAGAGTTGAGCAGGAAGAGGTAAGGAAGGAGAGGAAAAGCTTAGAAAAGATTATGTTGTGCAAAGATACCTGAATAAAATGGGTCCTCAGTGTGACTTTCCCACCCATTTCCATGCTGTGTGTGCATGCTGGCATTACCTGCCAAAATATCCCAAAGTAATGCAAAATTAGGGAAAAAGTGCTGGGCAAAGACCATCTTGAGAATTTCATGGTCCGTGGACTTTAAATTTTATTTTATAAGAGCAGTTAAAATATTAATGGAAGCATTGGTCATTTGATTATGAAGACCTTGGTCTGAGCCACTTGATACTTTTTGGGTGCTGTGGATTGTCAGCAGAGAATAAGATTC